AACACTTATTGAAAATGATGGGATATAAAATTGAATTCACTTGTAATGGCCATTGAGTTCCGGCACACATATGCGTGCATAACATACATAATAGTAAATGCATATATACATTTATACATCATAGATGTACGCATACAAATGATTATCAATGTGTATGTATCTGTATGTTGGCACATGCAGAAACTTGCATATACTACTTCTGAAAATTATAGGGGACATTCAGTTATTGATGCCAGCTCCTTTTGGTAGATTGTTCACCTGTATTTCACCTTGCACCAACCAATAAATCTTAGCACTTCTCACAAAGAAACAACCATTTCTGAACATTTTGTCTGCTCATTTTGTTCCACTTGCCATTGTAGAACACCATTTTCATTTTGTATCTAACCATGTGAAAATAGTTTTATGTGTGCAGTTTGGCATGAATCTTATTTTGTCATTCCTGAATAGATTTTTCTTTTTGTGGTTCCATTAAAATTTTATTTAATGATGATGATGTCCATGGTACCGTGATAAGGTACACTCCTCTGGAGTATGATTATGGCTACTAGTCTGAAGGCAAATTTGTGTGCCATTTTTGTAGCATAACATGGTGATTGAGCCCACACGAAAGGAACCCCTTTCCCCAATAGTTTGTCTTCTTAGCATAATGTATTGACATGAACAAGTGTCTCTTATAGTTTTCCCCTGTGCATTCAATAAAGATTTTCAATTTTAAGCTTTTTTTATGTGCTGTAGTTGTCATTTTCCACGTCTATCTATTAGTGCCTTTTTTAATCAAATTAACTTTGAAAACTTGGTAATCGAATGAGGCAATTTTGGCCATAGATTCATGAAAATATCAACTTCATGTTAGTCTGCTAGTAACCTTGAAAAACTTGAAATTCTCTCCTAATAGTGCTTCTCCAACAATTTCTATTTCCATGACATTTTCCATCAAAAGTGATCTTTAGGTATGATTTTCACTAAACAGTATATCATTTGTGCAGATGTGCATTCTTATATTTATTGCCACCAATGGAGAGACCTATTTCAACACAGCTTCACTGGTCTCTTGTGTACAAAACTTCCCAAAAAACAGAGGCCCCATAGTTGGCATACTAAAAGGCTTTGCCGGTCTAAGTGGTGCAATCTTATCTCAGATATACGCAATGATACATGCACCTGATCACGCTGCCCTCATCTTCATGATAGCTGTGGGACCCTCGATGGTAGTCATCACCCTCATGTTTATTGTTAGACCTGTTTGCGGGCACAAGCAAGCTCGGTCCTCTGATAACTCTAGCTTTTTGTTCGTCTATAGTGTGTGCTTGATTCTTGCTGCATATTTGATGAGCGTGATGCTTCTTGAAGACCTAATAAACCTTAGCCAAACCGTGGTTACCATGTTAACAGTGATGCTAATCTTTCTCTTATTGGTTCCGATTGTTATTCCTTTGCTATTGACATTCTATTTTCATGGTACTTCTCAAGATCAAGAGCATCTACTACCCGAGACTAAAGAAGGGCTGACAAGGGAACCGAGTGAGTATATTTTGAGCGAGGTTGAAGATGAGAAACCCAAGGAAGTTGATTTACTTCCGGAAACTGAGAGACAAAAGAGGATTGCACAGTTACAAGCACAATTAGTACAAGCTGCATCATGGGGAGCTGTGAGAGTCAAAAGGAGGAGAGGGCCACACAGAGGAGAGGACTTCACTCTGATGCAGGCTTTGATAAAAGCTGATTTTTGGCTTATATTCATCTCTCTTTTGTTGGGATCGGGGTCTGGATTGACTGTGATCGATAATTTGGGGCAGATGAGCCAGTCTTTAGGTTACAAAGGAACACATATTTTCGTGTCGATGTTCAGTATTTGGAATTTTCTTGGACGCATAGCGGGGGGATATTTTTCTGAAATTATTGTGAGGTATGATCCTTAAATTTTGAAAAAGTTGTAAATTTTCATGTTTCTTTATGTTGAAATAAAGTTACTGTTAGGCAATAAGTTGAAACTTGAAATATAGATTGTCATATATATAGCATAGAAAGTATTAGCACAAGTGAACTTTCGGAGGATATAGACGTGGAAAACAGAACATAATCTAAAATGCAAAGTTTTTCTGTTGCTAAGTTAGAATAATACTCTATGCTGTGAAGAAACAGTAAGTTTTTTAATATTTTTTATTTTATAAGCACTAGTATCTTAGTGCCTGCGATGTTTGCATGACATAGACGGTGATTTGCCTTTTTCTTTTTTCTTATTTTTTTTTTTTGAATTGTTGGATTTTTCTCAGGGTGAGGACATTGCAGTTGATTTTTTTTCCATGTGTAAGGATATTAATTCAGTTAATCTTTCTAAATATGAGGATATTTCCATGTTTTGCCCCCAAGTATAAAGGTCATTTTCAGGATTCTGAAAATGTGAGCCACAAACTAAAAAGGGGCCTTCTCTTAATATATAGTATAGATTAGATAATCGTGTTCCATTAAATAAGGATCATGTTACTTGCAAAAGTGAGCTTTATAAGTGAAACCCTGATCATGCAACATAAGACACTTCTGCTAATTACCAACGAGCATGAACAGGATGAATTATATGAAATCAATATATTTGGGTAATCTCATAGGCCTTACCACAGAAGTATGTTTGGTATAAAACGTTAGATTTTTTTTCCATAAATAAGGACCATACTACTTGTAAAAGTAATCTTTACAAGTGAAACCCTGATCATGCAACATAGAATATTTCTGCTTTCAACAATCATATAGATATGAGAAACAGTTTCACCTTATGTTACCCTCTCCAGAATTGAAATCTTAAGTGCGCCCTTTACTCAAACTTCCCATTATACTATTTCAACAAACTAACTTTTACTGTAATCAAATAATTACAAATGTTTTTTTTATCTGTCATAATAATAAAAAATTACAAATGTTGTTATTTAGAATGTGTGTATTTGACAGCAGCTAAAGTGGCAGTTAAACTTCGTTTATTATCTATCATACATATCGTATATGATTGGTTTGAACCAACAAGATTTATAATACATGATCTACATGAATATCCCACTAAGATGTAAAAAAATATAAAAGATGATCTACATAAGATGTATCTAGTAATGCATATATATAATTCTTGATTTCATGGTAAATGATGTTGAAGGTTATATAAATCATTTCTCTCTTCACAAATTGGGTATCTTTCTAAATTCAGCGTGTAGTCATAACCATGGTTTGAATATAATTGCATTGTTAGAGCATACACTTCTTTGATTTGAATGTAAATTATTGGTATATCATATCAATTTCTCATACATGAACTCCAACTTATGTTCTTTTATTGCCTTATGAATTAATTTTATCAATCAGGGATCATGCATACCCGAGACCAGTAGCCTTAGCAGTAGCTCAAGTTCTAATGGCTATCGGCCACTTCTTATTTGCAATGGCTTGGCCTGGAACAATGTACGTAGGAACTTTACTAATTGGACTCGGATAT